TCGAACTGAAACGTACGGGAAATGAGTGGTTCTGTTCATCGGTCGATCGTTTGGCGACTCTTTGGCAGTGGAAGCAAATCTCTTGACTGTAAAACTCATGACTGAACTCCTTTGCTTCTTAACATGCACATCGACTGTACCTGTTTAGCGTTTATTCCGTTTATCTATAGAGCAAGCTGGTGAAAACTAGATAAGCTAGTGAAGAATTACAACTAATGCAGCTGCATACGTTGATCGTGCGCCAGAAGAGCTCAATGACACATATTCAAAACATGAAGAGAAGCAAAATGGCCATGAGCACATTTGGACATAAATGTTTCGACACCAAAAGCGAATTCTCAGATATTATGACAAATGATAAGAAACTGAAATAAATCATTGACATGAAGCGTCGAAAACTACACAACTCTTGCGCATGGACACAGCAAGCAAAATACCTGAAATCAGTTATAGAAAAGTGAAGGTTTCCGCCAGATCCCCAAGAAATTTTAGCAGGCTTGGCACGGGCCTCCTTGAGGGGGTTCTGTTCCACTGTTGTGGCAGCGAGTTTTATTCAGTGCTTCACTACATAGATACCATAGGGGCAAAAGTCTTTCCATTAACGGATGAAATAGAAACGCAGAGTACAGAATTTTAGATTTTCCTCCAATGCTAAACGTACAATTTTGTTCGGTCCAGGGATCGCTATAGCTGCGAAACATTTTTATTGTTCATTAACATATAGTCGTCACGGCCGAGCTGTGCCTTGAGCGGAAATAAGCAAGGCGGTAACTTCGCAGGAGTTGTATTCTTCCCGCAGACGGCCGAGTCACACCAATCCAGCGAATTTCTGGCGCCATTGATTTATTTAATGAAGCCTGTCGGTGTTTTTCTTTTTCCTAGTGTATTCACTTGAACAGGTGACCATCATTTAAGTGAACTATTTCCACGTTTTAGCCTTTGGTCAAATCCTGTTACCCTTCGTAATTTCATATCGTTCTTTATGACATCGCACACCCTTCGTTTCTCCCCTGACAGTATTAGTGATTGGACTACGATTCCAACGTATTCACTGGACCTCCTAATGAGGACGTCGAACTAATGCTACCCGTTTTTGATAAACGTTTTCAGAATTTGAGCAACACCTATAGTGTCTTTCATGAACGTATTTCTGCCGTGGTTTTTTTTGCCTAGACCACACAAAGATCTCAACTTTCAGGTTATTAAATTGTTGATTCTCAATTTTCTATTAAATTTAATATACTGGAGTAACGGAGACACCCGCAGAGAACTTTACAAAACAACACGGCCAAAGTGTGAGCGAACTATCCGGTACAGAACAAAGTATGGGAGAAAGAATACCACGAATAAACAAACACAGCCAGTCCCTCTGACCAGGTTTGATTCCGGTTACGCGATGAGTCGTAATTCCGCTGAAACTATGCAGGTTATAACAGGTCTGTGACTGCCAGATAATAATAATTTTAATTACGCACCCAAGAAAGCGAAGCACCTATATTACCGAGCAGCAGCGAATACCTAATAATGATGTCATATTTCAAAATCTGAACAATATTTTTAAGGAATATACAACGCAAATTTCGTTGCAACGACAAAGTCATGTCCCTTGTTGTAAGTCTGGTTCAACAAGATGTTCATCGGTTCTGCACTGTACTCCCACGCGTCCAAAACCATGCAACCGTCAAATCTCCCGGTCCAACAAGAACATCCGTTAATGGCAACAAAGCGTACCGTTAAGTATTTGCACCGTATCGATAACAAGAATGCCCAGCTAGATCATGATATACGCATTACAACTGATCATATGATGCATGAACCAGCTCGATCGGAATTTACTTCTCAATGTTAGTTAATCACGAGATAAGGCTCAACGTGTTTCAACCTTATCTGACTAACCTACATAAGCATCTGTCATAATGGATCCTTCATATGGGGCACATTTTCTAATTGTCCAAGTGAGCATAAAATTCAATTATCTTTGTATATGTCATTTACTATTTAACTGTACAGAATTCGTACTGTTACCGTATGACTGAACGATGGATGCCATCATGGTGAATTTTCAGGCAATTTCCTTGGCTCCCTATACCGATGCCTCTAAGCATCATCAAGCCGTCACCGTGAAAACCCAGTCTCTGCATAAAACAACAAACAGAAAAAACCGCAAGTTTTACTTACCCCTAAGAAGATCTGTGAAATAAGCAGTAACTGTCGGAACCTGCCATTAAAATAAAATACATTTCGCCGAATGTCTTCTACCACTACCAATCCATCAACCATATATTAAACTGCAACTTGGCAGTGCATCTCTGAATGCAATTCCAATTCACCTTTACTAGGCCACAACATTCCTTCTTGAATCATGGAAGAGTAAGGCAAAACTGATCACGTGGAAAAACAAGAAATGGGCTTTTATAAATACAAAATAGTGACCCAGTGGTGGCTGAAAATCGCAAACCAGTCGCAAGTTTAAAACTACGCAGCCGCGCTTTGAACGCTGAACTAAATTCAGAAATGTCAAGACAAGGCAACAGCAGAACCAACAACAACCAAATACTTAATAAGAAACAAAAAAATACCAAATGCACTCTCTGAAATAAAGATATGCACATAGTTTTGGCAGCAGCTTCCAATTTTATTATCCCTTATACAACGTTCATGAATCAGAAACTATAACACATTCATCAGCTTTTCTTTTCACGCCTTTAAGTATTGCTTTCTGGACCATCGGATACTGCATGTAACACCTTTCAATCAATTTGTTCAAAATCTGAGGAAATCACAAAAGTGATAAGCACAAAACGATTTCTAAATAAAGATTTAACAAACAATTAAAACCAATACCTGTGGAAAATTAGACGGTTTGATGTAGCCGCGCTGGTGAATAGCTGCAATTTGATTTAATGACGGCAGAAGAGAAATAACACAAGAGCCGTCTTGTTCAATGACACTGTTACTAGCCGGATCATCCTGGGCGTCAGTCGTAATAACCTCCTAAATCAACGAACAATCACCATTAGGTAGATGAAAAGTGATGTACTACCAAGGAACCACCTATGACGACGTCAAACATTTCGATGCCAGCATCAGCCAACGCTCCAGAACAGCATGTGATCGAGGTTGCAGGAACTGAAAGATGCCCATGAAAAATGCAGAACGTTCGAAACCCGTGTGCTACTACCGTTGCCGACATCTTCGATTACCGTAATGATGACGTCAATTTGAGACCTCGGATATTTCTCCTGAATAAAAACTTTCAGCTCCTCGACGAAACATATCGCTGTATCGAAAGGGCTACATACAGCATTCAGCCATCAGATCTCCAATGCTTGAATGATATAAGCCTAAAGCCCTATAACAAAATCTCTGCAAATGTGCCACCCTCATTCTAGGAATTCAGCAGAGACGAAAATTCAACCGAATTGGTTAATCTGACAAGCGATGAGGAGTTACATAAAAGTAAACCCGATCTTATGGGTTTCTAGCATACTGCTAGCAATTGATACCGCCGCTAAGGTATATAATTCTTTTCCCTTTTGATACCGGATTTTACGTATAAATATGCCTATGGTTCGTGACATATTTGCAGGTGTCCGAACAGGTCTTTGTTCAGCCCTGCTTAATGATGCGGTTCTGAATCCATGCACTGCAGGCGCTCAAATACGATGGAGCCGTGTCCTGAAAAATAGTCTACTAAGCGAGTAGAAGCAAGGGGCGGCGCTTATGTCGATTAATTACGATTATTATTATCATGACGATTATTAAAAGAGAAAAGGATTATTTATCTTAGCGGCTGATCGACAACTGGCATTATGTTAGCAAATCCAATAGGAGAATTTCATTTTTATGTACAAGTCAAAAATTTTTGTCTGGTTACAGAGCGTCAAACACCGGTTGTTCCGCATTTTTGTTTGTTTGCTTGTCACCGTTGAATGCCCTTCACTTTTATGATGAACATTTTTGCACACTTCTTCTCATGTTGATATTTCGGTGCTGTTTTCCGTTTCTATATCATCAGCAAGCAGTGCCTTATTTTAAAGGCGGAGTCTACAACCATGTGGCAAGCGTATTGTGTAGTCTTCTGTTTTCTTTCCACAGAGTGGTACTCATTTACCAACCTCAGAAGGAACAACGGCGAGTGACCCTGACCGGGGCTTGGATTCGGGATCCACTGGTTTTGATTTGGACGCTCTACCGATTGAGCACCCCCCGGTGTGAAGTAACATTTGGTACATTCCTAGCCCTTTTGAATTCGAGAATAAAATAAAGATTGCCGTCGATAGAAATCGCACCCATAACCTCCGGTGTTTGAAGCAGACATCTTAGACACTGCGCCAACACACCACCATTATATATACTAACCTAATTCAGTCTATTAATATGTGTGGAATTTTCCAGGTCTACATATTCAGGCTACATAAGCAATAACTTTAAATTTCACGTTATAACTGAATTAATTCAAGTTTAGCACACAAAGTTGAATTCTGAATGCAACTGCACGCTGATTTCTGAAACACATTTCAACTGTGTTTTCTGCCGCAATAAATTACACCACTTCAATCGTTCTAGACACAGGAAAATAGAAAGATGGTAGTCTTTATTATAGGCGATGATGTTCCAGTCAAACTACGCTGGCCACCCGCAGAGCAAACGAAAAGTTAACTTCACTCTTTGCACCAAGGATCGCCAACGTATTTCGTCTCAAACGTCTGCCGTGACACTATAGACAACAATCTCTCTACTTTCTTGTGTCTAAAACCATCGGAATGACAATTTATTAATTGCGTTATGCAAACTGAGTATGTAAAGACCGAAAACTGCATGTATCTCTTAACTGCATTCATGCACATTGAAAGAGATTTGTAAATATGGTGATTTGTTATTAAATATCGATAACATACGGGCATTGTTACTGCACGTTTATGTCAAGCTACCAACAACATCAATTGGTCAGTTAGTTTCGATGGCTGCGTATCACTTTGGGTTGCAAAGACCGCAGAGTCCGGCAGTGTCTGAGTTTTCAGAGACGATGTCATACGTCATTCTATTCCCAAATCTTGATACTAAATCTGCATCAATTTCGAGAGATCTCACAATAGTTGTGCGTTAGTAAAACGACTAGAACAGAGGGACGATTACCAGGCAAATGGCGGAAAGCAGCGTGTCCGACAGCAGCTGTCGCAGAATCTGTTCTTCCAGCGTTTCTTGCTCTCGCTTATTTCTTTTGATTCGTGTCCGTAAGGAAAAGGGTGCATAATTTACGCGTACCATCACCGTCCCGATGTTCACCGGATCTTCGGTAGAAACGGATGCGTCGCGAGTGATTTCCTGAGGGCCAAATCTATCATGACAATCATCGTACACAAATGATAGTACTCTTTATGACGATATGACAAAAACTGCATACACGGTACATAAAACTTTCGTCTTGCCAGATTCGATGTACGCCGATCCGTCTGCGCTATGCACCACCCCGACTGTGAGGCCTGAAACAACGCTGTAACGGTAATTTTGTTCAATTTAAAACTGCAGTAGAATATGAAAAGTTCAAGGTGGTAGTGCAAAAATTAAACACACCTAAACCGTCTTCTATCGCCACCTCTCTTGACATCACCTATTTACACAAGAGGAAGGGCTCGAAAAACAGAATTTCAGTGTCACCAGATCTTGCAAAATAAGCCATGCAAACCGGACTTTCTTAAGGGGCAGATTACGCACCGGATGGATCAATTCTATTGAGGTATCACTAGCAGTGTACTGCAGTATTTGGGAACCCGACTCGTACAGCTTACCGAATCGAGAATCGGTAACTACAATAAAATCCTCCCAAAGCTACTCCTGGCGACACTTAAAAACAGCCGGCTTCTAAAATGAATGGACCAATGTATCTATGAATGAAAGACCGTGTGAATGACAGATTCTGAAAAGTGATAGTATCTCAAGTGACGAAACGATTGAGCGAATAAGTGAGCGAGCAGATGCTTGAATGAATCAATGTCTGAGTGAATGAACCACCGAAGAGAGAAAGGAAGGATTGAATCAGTGAGTGAACGAAGAGAGTGAATGAGTGAATGGATGAACGAATTGATTACTGTAGAGAGATTGCGGACTGAGGGCACCAAACAATGAAGATGCTACATTTTATTGTCGACTCGTTTCGCTACAAATGATCAGTCGTACTACGATGACGATACGACCTGCTTAGCGAAAAGCAATAGAAACAAAATGTTAACATGGGTTTTCATTGATGCCGTTAAAAGTGAACCAGCAATTTATTATTTCGGCAACGGTCCAAGAATTCGTAATGTTACGTCGCATTTAATTAGTTAATTGATAACAATAGCATTTAACAGCAACCACCGGCCAACACTTTAAACTTAAAGCATTTATCATGAGCATCAGTTAGCAGAATTATAATCAGAAAATTTGTTAAATAGTTTCGTTTCATTTTTCCTAGGTGTTCTACAGGGTCTCTTAATGAAAAATTTACGCGTCTGACTTTTGACATGTAAGTGACAGTATGCATTCAAACATAACATAAACGGATCTTCTACCGAAGCTGACTACATTAACACTATAGATGCTTTGCTACAGAGAATTAAACACTAAAAGCAGCGGTTAGCCGCTGTAATGGCTAAAAATAGTAACATCAGCTGTGCCCCCTGTAACGGGTAATACCTCAGTCCAAAGTCGGCCGCTTTGAGACGGTAGACAGAAGAAAATCATCCTGTATTCTTCCACTTCCTTCCTACTCATTTATCAACCTCAGAAACAAGAAAGCACGAGTGATCCCGACCGGAGCTCGAACGCAGGACCTCTCAAATCTGAGTCGGAGGCTCTACTTAACCGACCGACCAAACAAAGGTCTGAAGCAAAAGGTGTAAATTCGTAGAAAAGACAAGAATTGCACGACAGGGGAATCGAGCTCGGCACCAAGGGAGTTCGAGTTCGAAGCAGACCTCTTAGGCATCTTGTACTTCCATCTCATCTTAAAGAGCTGTAGAGAGACATTTCCTGAGACAAAGGTATAGAGGACGCGTTAAGTGAGCCAGGATCGAATCGCCCATATGGCACATACGGTGAAGCAACCTACCTAACGCACTCTGTCATAAACTTCACGTTAATTTTGTAAATCTTTATTACATATTTTCAATAAGTAAATAGCCAACTTATTTGGCATACATTTTTAAAAAAAATTACTTGGAATGTCGCCAGAAAAGTCTGCTGATTTGCTTTCCCCAATCTTCAGGCCTTTCAAGGAAGGAACGACGTACTTTTCGTAAGGCACGCTTTCGGAACATGCGTCCATTCCGTTTCTAAAATGTTTATCTGTCAATTTCAATTAGGTCAATAACATGATTCATTTTGATTTGCCATATCGAGTAATAATGACTGACAGAAAACTTTAAATCCGCTAATCAGTCAAATTTATTAGTCTGGACAACGTTTAATGCTATCATTATATGAACATACATTACATAACCGATGACAACTGCAGATGAACAAAAAATCTGTCCAAAACAATAAGCCTCCAGGTTTTCAATGTCTAGAACAGAGAGTTCTAAAATTTTCAATAACTTGCTGAGATTCAATGATTATATGCAGAACGAAAAACGGCCAGCAGTCATATTTTAAAGGCAAAGATTAAGTGAACACGATTGTGATTAGGGCAAACAACTCAAATGAATCATGCAGAAAATGTGCTCTAAGTATTTCTGAAATGAAAGTATAGCCAAAAAAGGTCTGATTTTTAATCTGTTGTTTATACTTCACTGAAGCACTATGTTCTAATTCAACAGTATCAGCGTACATTATCAAAAGCAATGCCTTACAGTAAACGATATGCTTCGTAGGTATACCGTGCAACGCATAATGGTACGCTATAATATTCGACCGCAATACAGTATTAAATCTGATTGCGCACGGTTCGTGCATTGACTTGGACAGACGCTAAATACGAAGCATAGATTCTGTGATGAATTTGGGATGACAAACCGGGCTCGTGACCTAATACAAATATAGACACATATAGTTACTTCAGATAGTACAATATCAATTATATATAGTAAAGGAGCATGTAAAGTTTGATGAAGCACAGCGATAATATGAGCTTTATTGTGCAGTATACGTTTACTATTATCCGTCTAGCATTATTAAATGCGTCTGTCTGAGTTTCAGCCAAAAATACATTTCAATCAAGCTTGTCGTTCCAACTGCTACAAATACATCAAGCATGGCGTTCCCAAAAGGTTCTTAACGCGGTTGGATGCAGGATCGTTGCGCTTCTTGCTCTGAATTTGACAGTGAACTCGCGCTCGTCACTCTGTTTTAATATATTTAACTACAAATTGAATTTGTACGTAAAAACGTCAATTCAATTTCCATGATAGCATTTCCTGTTGGGTTGAAGAAGCAGAAACGTAAGTCAGTTACAACGTTCTAAATACTGCGCCACCGTTTGAGCTTCGGCAAATGATAGCTGCAATCTGAGGCAATATCCTTCAATAGATTTAGCCCAGGTCAATCTTGGCCTTTCGGATCTTCTGTCGCTCGGTTGGACAGGCAGCAGTTGTGTCGCTTTCTTTTCTTGAAGCATGGGCAACACGCTTCTAACTCATTGCGGTAGTAACTTGACAATCTGATGAAACAGTGGCTGTACACCAGGGTTCTCTCAGATATCTGTACTTCTGGCCAGATCGAAATGTGAGGTCAACGTCATTAAAGTCTATTACAACCGCTTATATGCGGAATCGAAGATTTTCAGCCACAGCAAAAGGCTCATGACCGTAGATAAACATGGAGATGAAAATAGGCCTAGTCTTCAGACTCATCTTTGTTTTGGTCACAGCGGTTAGGGCTGGTGCAGGTAAAACGCCGCAAGTGTTTTCTGTTCGACAGCTAATCTCTTCCTCTCACTTTCTGTCACCACGAAACACGACTTTGAGTCATATAAACTTCTCGACCGGCTTCACTGCGTTACCGTTTACGTGAAAGGAGGAGCGGCTAGAAGAATGATAAAGCACTAAGTATTTCGTTTTAGCAACGTGCAAAATTATGCCGGCCACGTTGCATTCTGCCACAAACCTTTCCATCGAGCGTTGTAGGTCAGTTCCTGAAGATGTTAATGAAACAAGGTTATCTGCAAACAACAACCTTATAGTTCCGACATCCTCTGCGCTGATACACTAATCACCCTGGCTGAGTCTGATTGTTCTGTCCATGTACAACACAAACAGGATATGGGACAGAACGTAGCCTTGGCGGAGACCAGTGATAATGCCATTTACTTTAATGCAGAACCTATCAGTCGTCCCATGTATTTGCAGGCACGCCCATAGATTGCCGCTTGGAGTCTAGTAAAATTCTTTCTAAAATGAATTTAGTTCAATGAACTATTTATGAAAGTTAAGCTAAAACTAGGGACTCGCTTCGATTGAAACTTTTCGGTATGTACTTAAAAATGGCTTGCTTTTCAGAGTAGATATTATATAAAAGGAGTCTGAAGGAGATCTAGGCGCTCTAGTGGATTAAAGCTTACAAATAATTTATGTGCGGAGTATCTCAAAATATACTGTGACATATCTTTATCCACAGTGGCAGCTTGGCACCGCATCCCTATCACCCGACTTCAGTGCAGAGCTGCTCCGTATAGGCAATCACTTATTAAATTGTTGATAATCATCGCTGCGCATGACACATATTTGATAAGTCAGATGCCTTGTACGTGCCTGTGTGTACATATGAACAGATTGTGGAGGATCAGACACAAAGAATTCAGTGAAGAGTTCTCCTATGCCTGCTGACGAACACCTATTTCAGTAGCCCAGTCACATTCTGAATAGTCGTACGCTTGGAGCTGAAACTGTCTCTACATCTCCTAGTTTTTCGAAAGCCTTTCCATTGGCTGAGAGGATGGAAAAAGGGTATGATGCGTACCTTGCGAGTTTTCAGCGGTTAAAATTCTCAGATAAGCTATAATTGTATTCGCCTCCTCACAATGCTAATTCAGACATAAAAACTGAAGGCAGGCCAATTTTTAGTTCCAAAAAACTCTGAATGGAGAACAGCTAATTCAAACTCAGTTATTCATCCACATGGAAAGCCAACATGTAGCTCGCTTCATAAGACTTTTGACACAATGGATATATGGCGGGAAGATATGGTCAAACACTGCCCGTTTAACGCAGAACATCCACAGAATCCTGGAGAAGAATACAAAGAATACTAGAATATTATTTTAAAAAACATGGGAAAGTGCTAAAGTTTTACCCAGGTAGTTGCGTCGTTAGGATAGAGTTAAATAATGCGGAAGGTAAAAAAGAAAATTCCCGAAGAAAGTATATGATTTAGGAATGTGCAGGGCCCATTCAACAGAACTGAACATGGGCTCAATACACTAAATCGGTACTTTGGTGGTAATGCTCAATGACTCCATTATTATCAAGAGAGGGAACTAATGTACTGACTTTTAACTGAAAATTCGCTCGACCTTCAAACATGTCAAGGGTAGATGGAATACTTCTTGGAGTAAAGTACATGATGAAACATGTTAAATAATACCAGAAAAACGACCTTTTATCACCAAAACCATCGTTAAATTCTTTCAAAGTTTTCAACCGCATACCATCCAGAAAACAGATTCCCGAAGCGACAACATCGCGTCACTAACGAAAAGAAGTCAAAAATGACAAACTGGTGATTCTGTATGTAAACACTGACAACTGTACAATCATGGTGAAGCTGAAGCAATAAGAAGAGAAAACAAGGGGTTTCCTAGGAAATGTCATAAAATACTGCAAAATTGTCGGATTCAAAGAAGTAACACCGTCATGTGAA